TTTGATGGTATACTAATAATGATTAAAGTATACTGGAAACTATTATATTATTCAATTGCTGTTAGACATCCTGAAAAAATTTGAAATCAAAGTGTCTTTTTAGTGTTATTTATGGTTTCTGATTTATGCAAAGTATTGCTTTAGATATTTATGCAAACTAATGCTATAGATCTGTGAGGTCAATATGAAATTTGTGTAATTTCCTCTGAAATGTGATTAATACAAACGTATTTTAATTTTAATGTTTCAGATAATTAACATGTAAGTCTTAATGACAAGGCACCTTCAGAAACTTTACAGATCATTACTGTTCTGTGGCCCCTTTTGAGGCAAATGATCTTACTAGACATTAATTTATTTAAGCTTAAGAAATAGAACTTCAGATAAGAGACAAAGCAAATTGTGTAATAATGTATGAAATTGAAAGCCACTTGTATTGGAAAAATAAATAATAATAGACTTGAATTTTATATTTAAACAAATGAATTATACAATATGAGTCCCAAGCCGAGGTAAAAATCATTTCTCTTACACAAATACACACACAGAGCCCTGTGCTGGCATGCAAGATGGAGTTCTGCAAAGATTCCAAGCATCTCAGTAGCATTACTTCTCTGAATTACATTAAACTGGTTGGGACATGATGAAAGAATGCAAGGTATAAACCCCTTGAGGGCCTATGAGTCACCATCTAGAAAGGTTCTTGAAAGGGTATGAACATTTTATAGTTTGATCAATAGGAGTTTGAGGAATAGGTTACAGGGTAATGACAAGTCGAGGATTAAGAACTTTCGGAAACTTAAAGAATTGAATTACTAGTCTAAGAAAATTCCCAGGAGTAAAAGAAAGAGAGAAAATGAGAGAGAAGTAGACTTTTTCATCAGATCTTGGTCAGAATTCAGCCAAAGTAGATTTGATGATAACCAGCTGTGATGTAGGAGCTAGAACTGTGAGATGAAAAGGGATTTCTAGAGATTCAATTGTCCACCCTAGTAATTTTGGGTACATACAAAGTTGAGGTTTTAATTGGGATGTAAGGGATGAGGTTTCAAACTTCAAACTTAAGAGCACCTTTTTAATAGAACACTCCATTGAACAAGTCTCTTATTCCTTTCTTTCCAGAGAGAATGGACCTTTTTTTCATACATTTTCATCTTGAAATGGCATTGTAGTTGGGGTTTCCTCTCTCTCATTAATATTATGTTAGTAGAAGTTAACAAGCCATTGTATTAATAGGGTTATAAGGACTTAGGTTATTTCTGGATAGGAGTCTCTCCCTTTAATTGTATGGCCACTGTAGCAAGCACAAAAGTATAAATAGATGAACCTAGCTAAGAATTTCTGAACTCAGAGCAGATTCTGTTATGTCTACTCCTTTAGCTTTTTCTCTATTTTCAGAAAATTGCTAAAACCTGACTTTGAGATATGATTGAATAAAAAGCTAAATAAAATATGACTAAATACACACACACACACACACACACACATATATATATGACTAAATAAAAAGCCATATACCATAGGATTATCACTCTACCTCAAGGTCAGTTTGAACTACAAGCTCCACAGTTCAAACTCACCATCCACTCCTGAGAAATCCTATACAGGGTCTCTATGAGTCAGGACTGACTAGACAACATTTAACAACAACTCTTAATATGGTCCACCCAACATGAGCTGATAAGATTGCTAATTGCTCTATGAAAAGTTTAAGGAGGAAATGGGCCTCTGCCTTGGGTTAGGTGGCTAGAAGGGGAAGGTTTGGGTTGATGTAGTTTATGGAGAGATAATGAGAACAGGGAGTAAAGGTAGGGAAGTATTGACCCCACTTAAGGACTGGTGACCTTGTATCCTGTATGAACCCCATTTTCAATTACTGTTTTTTTTATGTCTGGGTTACACAGAGGGGGCTATGTGTAGATTACCTTTTGATGTTATTGTTGTTGTCAGGTGTGTATGTGGCACTGTAGGATACTCTACCACAGGGTCGGTGTGAACCACAAGAACAGTGGTGCAGACTCACCAGCTACTCCTAGGAAACCCTGTACAAGGGTCACTATGAGTCGGAACCAACTTGACGGCACTTAATAACAACAACAGGTGTATCTATATGGAATTATAAGAAAAGCTGATTATTTTGATGAAACACAAAAGAAAGGAAGCAGAAGACAAAAGAGAAGGGAAAGAAATGTGGAAAGAGTTGGATAATTTTGTCTGCTGTTTCTAGTTTGTTCTTCATTTTGTACCTATCTCATCTGTGCCTCTTCTTGTCTTCATTCCCTCTTGAGTTCGTCTCATTTTGGAAGCTGATCAACCAGCAGCCAAACCCAATACAATACAATCTAAAATGTGTGTAAGATTCTTGGTCTTTTATTTCAAAGTCTGTTCCTTGGGCAAGAAGTTGTAAGTGACTACATGGCAAGATGACTCTTGGATACCATCATCTCTTCCTGAGGGCACTGAGACAGTGCTTCTGCAGCAAAATGTAAACTGATGCTGCATTGTTTTTTAGCATGGGGTTTACAGAAAAGAAAAAACAAAAACAAAACAAAAACGTGCACACTGAAAGCATATCGTAAAATACCGACTTCACAAGGACATAAAAACACTTCTAAGCAAAGAATAGAGGACGAAGTTCAGAGAAATAAAATGAAACTTTTGGATTGAAGTTAAATGTGCACACTAATTGCATGAATACTGAACCCACAACTGGGGGGTGCGGGAGGTGGACACTGAGGTTTCCTCATTTTGGAGGTTGTATGGAAATATGAAATATTCCCTTATTGTTTCAAATCCTCTCCTGCTTGGTCCTTTCTGCAGTTTCTGATTGCCAGTTTAGGCTTTTTCTCTAAATCACCAGAAGGAAAAGAAAGTAGTTTAGAGCTCTGCTGGGCATATGCATTCAGGTCTTTCTGGCCAAACCAGTGAAACAGGAATCACAGCTGCCCTCTGCAAAATCCACACTTGCCTAGCCTAGGTTCTCAGTCCATGCATAGTATCCAGTCAGTTGGTACCCAGTGGTGCTTTTATATACCATCTTTCCAAACCTGAAGAAGAAGTTGCAAGTCACTATGTGGCAGAATGACCCCGTCAGAAACCATGATCTCCTCTTTCAAAGGGGCACCCAGATGGCAGTGCTGGAGCATCCTGTGATAGTTGCTGCTTATAGACAATCTATTCTGGAACATCTTATGTTTCTAGTGGAGAGGAAAAGAAGAGAAATAATGTTCTATTCTGGAATAGGACAAATGTAAAGGCAAACTCAAGCCTGACAGAAGGGCTTTGTAGAAGGTAGTCATCCCTGAAAGCCAGGATGATCGAGCATGAAATGGACAAAGGCACAGACATAGATTTTCTCCAGAAAGGTGACTTTCTGTCTATTGGATTCTCCATTTCCATCAATCAGGAATAGTTCTGGTGTGATGCTGTAGGATAAACACAGGATTGCTAAGCACAGAGGTCAGCTGTTCTAACTCACCAGCCACTCTTGGAAATCTTATACAGGGTGACTTTGAGCTGGAACCAACTTGACAGCCCACAGCTACAGCAGTCTCTTAAAAGAAGAAGAAGAAGAAGAAAAAAAATCTGGAGGAAAAAATAAAATTGCCTCTTAATATATGCCTTAGGCAGTTTTCCTCTGTAAAGAAAGCATTCTGTGGCAGCTGGTAAGATGTCCTGGTAGGAGTTTTCCCCTTGACCTCTAGCTGTGGGGCTTCTTTGTGGGGTTTGTTAGACCCCCTTAAAGAACATCCTACAGAACTATAATGTAGGACTGCCTTTTCTCTCCTGTTGTCTCTTTCAGTTTTTTCTTTTGTTCTCAGATTCTTATTTAGAAGAACATGTTGGATGGGAAAAGTCTGGGCATAGGCTCAAAGTAATGAGGTATCTTTCCTCATAGTCTGGAGATGTTAGAACATGTATAGACTCTCCTGGGTTTGGAGAAAGGAAGTAAAAACACCACCCAGCAGTTTTCTGTGTGCCATGTGTATTCCTGTGTCCTCCTTCCACATAACTCATCTGATGGTCTCAGGACCCTTTATAACTGCTAGTCATTTTTAGCAGTGGAGGATTAGTTCTCCTATTTATAGACTGGTTAACGATGGAGTCCTGGTGGCACAGTGGCTAAAGCACTTGGCTGCTGATAGGTAAGCAGTTCAAACCCACCAGTCACTCCATGGGAGAAAGATGTGGCAGTCTGCTTCTGTAAAGGTTACAGCCTTGGCAACTCCATGGGACAGTTGTATTTTTGTCTTATGAGTCAGAATCAACTAAAGACAATGGGTTGGGTTTGGTTTTGAATTAAACTAAGATTGGAAGGAAAATTATCAGCATCAAATCCTACTGCAATTTTTAAATTCTATCTTTAAATCAAGCTGCATTTACCTCAAAATTATAAATAGAAGTTATACAGTCCTGGTGCGGCACTGTAGGATAAGCAGGATATTGCTAACCACAAGGTTGACGGTTGAAACCCACCATTTACTCCTCGGAAACCCTCTACAGGGTTGCTTTGAGTCAGAACCGACTAGACAGCGCTTAACAACAACAACATGGTGACTAAAAAAAAAAAAACAACAAAACGAAGCCACATATGCAAAATTGTACTGTGTTAAATTTGTAGTTGTTATAAACACTCAATGCAGTACCTTTGTAGCTTAGCGCGTTTTTCTCATGCATATTAATTTTGTGCAAGCCTCTGTTTTAAGAAGCTTTATGTGGTTGAACTGACATTGCTTAATAAGCAATTGAAAAAGTTAAGCATAACTAGAAGTAAGTCATTTACAACTGTGAGTCACTTTCCTGACAAGCCAATAAGGTAAGAGAACCTGGGTTGCAAAACAAAAACTAGCCCAGCCTGAGGGACCCTGGAAAATATATTACTGGTATCAGTTAGGAAAACAAAGCAGTAGTGTTTTACCACGCTGCAGAGAACAAGCTAAGGTTGCTAACCAAACAAAATTACTTTACATTGACAATGCCAATTTTTACATTTGTTTCAGAACAAGGGACGCTCAAACCACCTGAGGTAAGATTAACATTTAAAATTATTAATATATCAATTTTTTGCATTTCAGGTTGTTTGCTAACTTTAGCAGGCTTATGCTTTTAAAATGTGAAATGTGTATTTTTACATGAAAAGAGTGAGCAGGCAAGTGCTTGGGAATGAAATGCATAAGTTAATTCACGGGAACTAGAGGGAAAAAGGTAACATGTAGTCTAAGACGAAATGGGAACACTTCAGAATCTTAAATACTTACTCATTTAGGTAAATTACAAACAGATGTTATAGCAATACTATGCTACTAATATGGAGATACATTTTCCTGGTAGCCTGCTATGGAATTCCATAAAACCCTGAGATTTATAAAGTTGAATGCACTTGAAGGCATAGATCACATTAATTCTGCTAGTACAGAAGGAAAAGATGGCCCTCAGCCCATGGAGACGGTAGACGTGTCCTCTGTCATGAAATGTCATGTTGCTGCCCAACCTTTGCCAATATTGAAAATATTGAAAATAACCTTATGGTGTTGTGGGTCTCTGTTTTTAGTAGTTTTCTGTTTGAGCACAAATTTATCACATCATAATCAAGTCAACTTCTGATAACATTTCCCTTTGGTTTAACATAGAGTCTAATTCCTAATGGCTTAGAAGTATGGATTTTTGTCAACATGTCAGAATAAAGTTGTTTGAAAAAGAGCACAAAAGAGTGAAAAATATGGCAGCTTCCAGATAATCATTGCCTTGGTCTTCAATCAAAAATAACACATTTTTCTCCTGATTCCCAAAGTAGTATGTTGACAGAACAACATCAGCAATAACTACAACAATAAAACAGGAAAAATTAAAATGTAAAATAGGTATGATTAGTGAGGTAAACTAAAAGCATAATAACTGAAAATGTTTGGATGAAAGTATGGCAAAAAATATATACCAAAATTATTTGAACATGTAGTAATTATGTCTCTTTAAGTTAGTAGTATAATAATAAATGTTGTTGTTGTGAAATGTCATTCAGTTGGTTTGGACTCATAATGACCCTTGTATAGAGTTTCCAAGGAGCGGCTGGTGAATTTGAACCTTCAATCTTGCAGTTCAAACTGACCTTTCAGTCCAGTTATCCCACATCTATGTCTTAAATTAGCATTTATATAATAGGTTCAAAAAAGGAAAAGGCAAGAGGCCGGATAACAAACATTTGTTTCTACTTTTTTGCCTATGGACTTAAAGGAGTATCAAAAGTACAATATGAGGAAGCTCATATTATAGGCACTTTTGATTCAAAAATGTGCATCAAAGAATGCATAACAGGTTCATAGGAAGGGGTTTCAAAAAGTTCATGGGAAAAAATCTGTTGTCTTTTCATTCAATTTTTCTAGAAACTTTTTGAAGCCCCTTCATATAATAATATTCAAAAAGTAGGCCACTCGATTTCTTTTCAGGCTAAAATATATTAACCTAATGTGTTTGTTTTTAGTGTTTAGTTGACAAGAAAGATTTTTCATCAGAGCTGTAAAGGATTCTTCCAGCAGTGCCAGTGAGGATTTTGGAACGCAGTCTTAATTCCCTTACTCTCTCACACTGTTATTAAATTATTGAGACTGATTTCCTTGTAGAGCTCTGAACTTTAACTTAGTGTAACTTAACATTTATCCTGTTAGCTATATACTGTAAAGCAAATGGTTTTGCTTTACTTTAATTAAGTAATGTGAAGTGGGTATATTTACAGAAGGAAAAGTGTGCTGAAAAGAAGGGGTTAATAATTTTCACGTGATATTAAATAATTCTCACAGGCATTTTTATACTAAACTTCTAAAAATTATATTTGAGCCTATTAGGAAAATCTTCACATTGATTTTTTTCATTGTATCATCATTTTTAGTGGCATGCTCAATGTTTTACTCAAATACATATACTTTTAATTAATAATTAATCATCTTTATTCTGGTGGATAACTATGTAAGTTTTTATACTGGCCTCACTGTTTGGAAACTTTAGCTTTGTTTAAGGGAGGGATATAGCAAAAGAGTATATAGCAAAAGAGTCCTGGTGTGGTGCTGTAGGATAAGCACAGTACCACAAGGTCAGTTTGAACCGCAAGGTCAGCAGTTGAAACTCACCAGCCACTCTTTGAAAACCTTATACTGGGTCACTATGAGTTGGAACCAACTCGACAGCACTTAACAACAACAATAGCAAAAGAATATTAGGAAGCATCTTTCACGAAATAACACCCTCCTACGAAAATGATTACCTGAAGCTCAGGAGTCATCCCAGAAGTAAAAAGCCCTCTTATGCTATCTGTTTTTTATCTCCCTGCCCTACCTCCTTTGAGAACCCTCTTTCTTTGAGAACCGTGTACCAGATTCTAGAGTCCTTATGTGGTGCAAATAGTTAAGTGCACTGCTACTAACTGAAAGGCTGGTGATTGCAGACTACCCAGAGGTACCTTGGGAGATACGCTTCCTGAAGATTGTGGTTACGAAAATTCCCAAAGCACAGTTCTCTGATGCATTTGGGGTCCCCAAGAGTTGGAATTGAAATTGACTAGACAGCAATTTGTTTTGTTTTGTTTTTCAAATCAATTTATAGTTCTATCCTACTTCCCTCTCAATCGCCATGTTGTAAATTTTTTATTTTTCGTTTTACACAGTATTTTCAAAGTAGATTCATTTTTCATTTTCAATAATCACAGAATCCATACATGTCTCTACCCCATACCTGGGATGCTCATCTCATATCCCATTCTGAAGTGGTCTTTTAGATCCCTCTCTGGCTCCAAAAAGCAAGTTCACTATTATGTATGTTAGTTGTTTTTTGCCATCAAGTCGATTTTGACTCATAACAACCCCTTATAGGGTTTATGAAGTTTTACAGGAACAGAAAGTCTCATCTTTTTCCTGTGGAACAGCTGGTGAGTTTGAACTGCCAACCTTGTGGTTAGCAGCCCATCGTGTAGCCCAGTATGCCACTGTTTGTTGTTGTTAAGTGCCGTCAAATCAGTTCCAACCCATAAGGATCCTGTATAGGGTGGTGAGCTGCAAACCTTGTGGTTCAAACCGACTTTGCAGTCCAGACCATTAACCCACAGCACTGCACCAGGACTCCAGGACTCTGTTTAGCTCAATTCATTTCCTTCTGCAAGATTTTCCTACCTTTAAAACAGGTACAGGAAATATTGCCACTTTCATATGACAATGAAACTTTACTCGTTTTTTTAATTTGGTAAAATCAACGGAGAAAAATTGAGATTTTTACCAAAAGAGGTAGGAAGAGAGAGTTTCTTGAATGATAAACGTTGTTTGTTTCTTCAGTCTTTTTTTTTTTTTTTAATAAGAGATATATAAGGTAATAGGTGCCAAAACAACTAGAAATAACTATGAAGTGCTTATAAAATTAGCCTCCACCCAGATATAGATCAAAGGAGATTCAGAAAGGGTCTGAAAAGTGGTTCTCAGGATTTTGTGAGGCGGTAACTGAGTGAGAGCTCTGGTGGAGAGGGTGTGGCAACTAGATATGCCCATAGGCTTCCCCTCCTCTTTGTGCTGGTGACAAAAGTTCACTTCTGACCCAGACTATTGAGAATATGGGGGTAGGAGTAAGGTATGTTAGACAGGGTATCACAGAATGACAATTGAAATTTGCATTTTAAAATTATTCTAGATGTGTTCTGATGAACATTTCCAAGATATTTTTCCAATAATATCAAGTATTTTAGGTATTTAAAAAAGTTTTATAAATCTCAGAAACAAAAATGCACATGGTCTGAGTAGCTGAGATTTCCCTTTATTTTTATAAGTTTTTCTCCCTAACTGCTCCTGATCATAGTTTTTCAACTGCCCAACCTTCCTGTAGATAACTTTTTGTTTTCAAGGTCATTCATTTTCAGTGACTTTCCAGAAGGAAAACTCTAGAATATAGGTGGTAGGACAAAACAGAAAGAATATTTTATACTTTTGTGAATTTAAACATTGAAAATACTAGTGAAATATTTCATATTGGAGTAATGTGCATCCATGGCATACTTGCCCTGAAAATGATTGCGGGAACATGACATTAATAAAAACCCGTCCTGTTGTAGCACTGCAGGCTAATGCTCTGGATCACAGGTTAGCTTGAACCATGAGATTGGCTGTGCAAAGCCACCAGCCGTTCCTTGGAAACACAATACTGGGTCCTATGGGCCGGGACTAACTCGACGGCACTTAACAGCAACAACAATAAAACTGAACCGTTCTAAGTAACATATAAAGTTAATATCTCACCACAAACCCTGTGAGTTAGGTATTGCTGATAGTACTGTTGATTTTATAAATGAGAAAACAGAGGCACAAAGACATTAATCACTTTGTTTAAGATCAAATAGGTACCAAGTGGCAGAGTCTGAAATTAAACTTGGGCCATCTTGATTTTAGAATACATACTCTTAATAATTAAACCGGGCTGCCTAAATTCAACATAATTCACAGTTACTTTTGAATCCATGAATCAAGCATCTTTTTTTTTTTTTTTTTTTACATTTAAAGTTAGTTGACTGTCTTTAAACAGTGCTTTTTAGTAGTTTTTCCAGGACACTTGTCAGTCATGGTCAACATAGCTTTCTGGTCCTATGAAGATTTACAAGCTCGGAAACCCTGTATAGGGTCGCTGTGGGTTGAAACTGACTCAATGACACAACACCACCATTGATCTTTTATAAATCTATTTCAAAAGTTGTTGTTTTTGTTGTGATTATAGGCCTTTAAGTCAGTTCTGACTCATAGTGACCCTGTATAGGATTTCCGAGGAGTGGCTGGTAGATTTGAACTGCCAACCTTGCAGTTAGCAGTCTGGTGCTTATCCTAGGTGGGGTAAAAACAAAAATTACATTTAAGATTTTTTTCTTCTGTGTGCTTTCACCTAAGAATACTGAGTGCCATATGAAGGCATGAGGCCTTTTGGAAGTCTGCAAGGCCCCATTTTGCCCATTTAATGTGTGACTGAAAACACCAGAAAGAACCCTGGGAACAATTCAAGACAAATGTGTGTTTAGGAAAGCCACATGTGCAATGAATGGAACTGAGTGTCCCCATACAGGCATGAACCCCAACATACTTTAAAAGAAATTTGCTTTTGTGAAAATCCAAATTACATGGTAGTTATAGATTTAGCATTTCATCCAATTATATAATAAAAAGTAAAAATCAAGCCCTTATTAAGTTGTGAGATTACCATAGTTATTAGGTACGGATAAATTAAACACTAGTGAAATTGAACATTTAACCAAGCATTTTCCAAGATTTAAAATCTCTTTTGTTCTGTATCTCCTCTATAAATTTCTGCCACATGGGATTTTTTTTCCACAGATTCCTTCTTTATAATAAGAATTCACTTTCATGGTTCACCAGCTGCCTTCCTGTCTTGTTTCGTAAACTATTCAGACATAAGCAGTCCTTAGTCTCATTTCACTGTTTGCTGAAATCAGAGCTTGAAATCTTTGTGTTGTGGTTGTGCAGCTTCTCTAGTCTCTATTCGACTCCAGTAATGACAGCGTTAGCATTCTAGGAAGTCAGTTTGGGGCTATTGCTCATAAGCCTTTGCTAAGAGCATTTGCAACCAAGAATGGATGCTTGGGCTTTGTTCTCATATTTCCTATAGTCACTGTGACCTAAAAAAAGAAAGAAAAATTTGAATCATAATACCCAGAGATATAAAAAGATATTTATTTTCCAGGGTGTTAAAAAATATCAATAACTTATCGATTGTAATGAAACTCAAGTGGAAAACTTATTAGAAAGATAAAAGATTAAATTTTATGTATGTGTGTGGTGTTGTAGGAGAAGCACTGGACTGTAACCTGGAAGGTCAGTGGTTCAAACCCACCAGCCACTCCTCAGAAACCCTATAAGGGTCTCTATGAGTTGAACTGACTTGATGATGTTTAACAACACCAGGACTCCATATTTATATTTATTTATATACTGTGAGTGTAGTGGCCCTGTGGGACAAGCTTCCTGCTCCTGCAAAGATGTAAAGCCTCAAAAACCCTATTCCAGGTCTCTGTGAGTCTGATCTGACTCAAAGACAGTTAACAACAACAACTAAATATGTTGTTTATAAGTGCCATCAAGTCGGTTCCAAGTCATACCAACCCTGACCCAAGCCATGGTATTTTCAGTAATCTCATATATGTGTGAAAGTTGGAAGGTGAATAAGGAAGACAGTAGAAGAATTGATTCATTTGAGTCATGGTATTGGAGGAGAATATTAAAAGTGCCATCGACTTCCAAAAGAATATCCAATCTGTGTTGGAAGAAGTACAGCCAGAGTGCTCCTTGGAAGCCAGGATGGTGAGACTTTGTCTCTCATACTTCAGACATATTACCAGTCCCTGGGGAAGGACATCATGCTTGGTAAAGTGGATGGTTAGAGAAAAAGAGAAAGACCTTCAGTGAGATAGATTAGCACAGTGGCAGCAGCAAAGGACTGGGCAGTGTTTCATTCTGTTGTTCATAGGATTGCTATGAGTCTGTACCAACTTGATGGCACCTAACAACAATAAAAAACTTGTTTTCCAAGGAGTGCTGGTGGGTTTGAACTGCCAACCTTGTGGTTAGCAGTCTAGTTCTTATCCTATAGCACCACACGAGGACTCCACTATCTGTCCACTATGTTGTTGTTAAGTGCCATCGAGTTGGTTCTGACTCATAGCGATCCCATATGGGGTTTCCCAGGAACAAATTGTGAGTTAGAAATGCTTATCTTGTGGTTTGCAGTCCAGTGTTGATCCTATATCACCACACCCGGAGTCTATATCCAATATGTGTGTGTGTGTGTGTGTGTGTGTATATAGTTATGTTAAATTTGAGTAGATTATGCTCATAGCATAGGATTTTTGAGGAGCAGCTTGTGAGTCTGAACCACCCACCTTTCAGTTCAAACTAACTTTGTGGTTGAGTGCTTATCCTGTAGCACCACACCAGTACTCCATTATATTTATGTGTATATATATCTACTGTATCAGATATAGGTGTGGCTTTAAAACTATGCTTTAGTTAACTTAGTTAGGTTTTTAATTTGAGAAAATAGAGCATTCATTGGACTTCCCAAATGTTTGAATTAATGTAATACAATATGGTAATGCGGAAATACCAACACTTCTTTGTTTTGTTGTTTTCCTTTTTTGTACAGAAACGGACCAACGGACTTCGAAAAAACTCCCGGGATCCAGGTACATTTCAGATTATGCATTATCTGTATTATGCATAATTTTTTGCTTTCCGTGATATCCCAGAACCTGCTACTGTGCCTGTAACATAGTAGAGCTCAACAGATAAGGAACATTTTTTTGTTAAGGATCCCTTGTGATGCAGTGGTTAAGCACTCAGCTATTAGCTGAAAGGTTGGTAGTTTGAACCCACCCGGAAGGTCTACAAGAGAAAGAGCTGTTGATCTTTTCCAGTAAAGATGAACTGCCTAAAAATTCTATAGGGCAATTCTGCTGCCACATAGGGCCACTGAAAGTCTTAACTTCAGTCGAATGGTCATGAAAGTACAGGGTAGTTGCTATAGAAGATCAAGCATATTGTTGTGTTTTGTTGCAATTGGTATAAAATGTGTGATCAGGAGCTGGCAGCCTGATGTGTAAATCACTCACCTGGCATTATTTTCAAGGACAAGGTCAGGTGATGAATAACCACCAGCACAGCAGTCTTTCCATAATGAGCTAGTTATTTGCTTACCGAACAGCCTCAGGGTGCCAAGTTAATGCTAACATATCCAACACCCTTCTCCCTGCTTCATCCCAAACCACAAACCTGGATTGAAATCAACCAGCAAGATATGGCATTCAAAAACCAGCATTTTGTAAGGAATCAGGGAGAGAATAAACCAAACAACTTTGGTACTCTCTTCACTGGTAAAACACTTGTCTTCATCCTCAGCCTATACTATCTTATAGTGTTAAGTGTCGTTGAATCAGTTGCAACTCATGGCGACCCTGTATAGGGTTTCCAAGGAGCGGTTGATGACTTTGAACCTCCAACCTTGCAGTTCAAACCGACCTTTCAGTCCAGTGCATTATCCTTCAGCACCACACCAGGACTACTCTAGTTTATAATAGAAACATAGGTTTAAGGGCTTTGAAATAAATGTCTTCTCCGGAGACGATATTTGCAGAAAACATTGAGTTGTTTTCTATTTAACACTGCTTAGTTTACACTGCCATTTTTTTTTTTTTTTTCATTCATTAGCAATGCCTTCCGCAGTTTCATTACCCAAAGTTTGTTATGTATTTGGTAATGTGATTGTGGGTAGAAGGTATTTGTAACTAAGGGATTCCAAAAAATAAATTAAGCAGAACATACAACATTGAGTGGCCTTGCTGGAAAGTTATGTGGATGGTGCATTTTGTTTTCCCATCATAACCAGTGTTCACCTCATTGTAAAGTTTAGCTTTAAATGTGTTATGGCTTTTAACCAAAACCACACCCATGGTAGCCATGCCAATTTATGAGTTGTTTGAGATTTATAGAAGCTTTGTTACCTGTGGCTAGAAATTGCTTCACTTGAATCCTGAGATCAGTTTAAATCTTTTTTAAACTACAAAACAAAATTGAGGCCTTTAAAAAAATAGGGGCTCTGGTCACTTTTTAGTAGTTTTAACTGCTGGTGTGGTACTGTAGGATCAGTATTGGACTGTGAACCACCAGTCGGCAGTTCACATCCACCAGTTACTCCTTGGAAACCTTATACAGGTTCTCTATGAGTTGGAACTGACTCTGTAGCACTTAACAATTTTCCCAAGACCATATTCAATATAGTGTTTCTAAGGGCAAATATAAATATGCATATATATGATTGCTTTGCATTTTGTGTAGTAAATTTATGAGTGCATTTCTCATTTTTCTGGGGAAAACAAAACAAGAAAAGCCAAGTAGTTAGTGATCTTGCACATCGTACATGTTAATTTCTTAAGAACTGTTTCTTCCTGTAGTTGTCTTTTGGTGTTAGGCTGAAGTTATGTGCATAAGGTTGGTTGTTATTTGCATCTCTGCCTCTTTCAGCTGGTAGCTGGCATGGCTGGCACATTGCAAATCTTCTTTGGTCAAAATGAGCCCTTTCTTGATGACAGTATTGCTCTGAGTTAATCTGATATGACTTTTGGTTAGCAGATTCCACACTTCTGCAAGAGATATTCCACCCCAAAATGTTCAAACAAGTGGTCAGTAAAACTGAGGCAGCCTCAGAATGAACAAGCTACTTCCAACATTCACTGTTTGTTGTTAGTGCTTTTTACTCTGAAAGTGTCTTCCATTGTTCTCTTATGGCTTATTTAATTAATATCTCTAAGTGCTGACACACTGATGACTTTCCAGGGTCTCAGTTAAGGTCTCTTGTAGAAAAACAAACAACAAAGTTAATTGAACAGTTTGGGAAGCCAGGTAACCACTTTATCAAATCCAAATTTCAGAGCCATGCACAAAATTCAATTTTGCAATTTTCTGTCCAGTGACTTTTTGTTTTGCAAAGGAACAACACCTAATTCTGTGGGGCTTGCCCTCCAGTTGCCATTGAATTAACTTTGATTCAATGGAGACCCCATATGCACTATAGGGTTTTCAATGACTGATTTTTGAAGTAGATCGACGGATCTTTCTTCCAAGGTATCTGAGTGAAAATGAGCGTCCAATTTTTTTATTTGTAGCCAGGTGTTTTAACCATTTGCACCACCAAGGGACTTCTCTGTGGATGGTGTTGTTGCTGTTGTTGCTAAGTGTTGTTAAGTTTCAACTCACAGCTACACTTTATAGGGTTTCCTCTGTGGGTGCTGTTGCTGTTAAAATGCGCTTGAGTCGGATCTGACTCATGGCAACCCTGTATAGGGTTTCCAAGGAGCAGCTGGTGACTTTGAACTGCCGACCTTGCAATTCAAACCAACCTTGCGGTCCAGTGCTTTACGGCACCACACCAGGTAGTAGGTGTTTAATAAGTACATATTAAATGAATTAATGAATGCCTATAAGCTTTTTCAAGGAGTCTTGGTGGCGCTGTGGGTTACTCATTGGGCTGCTAACCACAGAGTTGTCAGTTCATACCTACCAACTGTTACATGTGAGAAAGATGAGGCTGTCTGCTCCCATAAAGATTTACAATCTTGGGAACCCTCCTGAGAAGTTCTACTCTTTCCTATAAGGTTGCTATGAGCCCGAATCAGCTCTCGAGCAGTGAGTATAAGCTTTTTATATGTGTTGGCTCTCTTTCCTTTTAAATTACTCCTGCTGATGTACTAATGGAGCATGGTATAGGGAGCACAGCTCTGCCTGGGTTTGGGACTTGGCCTGGCTGTTCACATGCTGTTTAACCTTCAGCAAGTTACTTTGTCTTTCATTTCTAAAAGGAGGCTAAGGAGAGTGCTTACTTTATACAGTTGTTGTGAAGATTAAGTGAGTTAATATAAATAAAGTACTTAGCACAGTGCCTACTAGGTAGTAAAATGTAAGTGATAGTAATTATTATAATAATTACTATGTATTACAACATGTGATTTAACATTGGGCATTTTGTCACATGTGGGAACATTAATAATATTTGCCAATCATTTCTTTGCAAAACATCCTGAATTTAAGGTTGACTTTTCTGTGATAATTCTCCTACATAAGTGCACTCATTTTCAGTTACGCACCTATCTGGAATCCCCTTTTACATGATAAACTTTTGTGATCTTTTGCTTGTTGTTGTGACTGGACACAATCAGCGGTGGTGGCTGATGTTTATGATGCATCTAAGAGTATTTATGATTGCAGGAAAGAAACAACAAAGTCCCAAGGCTGAAAATGTATACCATGGAGTTCTATTTAAACTCGAGAAAGACATGTGTTGGAAGTTTGCACTGTGGTTTATGATAACATTTAAAACATGTACTTTTTTATTAATGATCTTTACATACAATATTTGCAAATGGCTTTGTAGTTTAGTTTATTTCTGATTATCTTCTGTTGTGCGATCAGAAATTTATCAATGTATAATCTTGACTACATTTATAAATATAGTAATGTGTGTCAGATGCAAATTCTGGGAGCTTTTTTGGATTTCTTAAATATAGCAGGGCACTTTCATCAATTTGTACTTTTCTTCCTGAGACAGATGTTGGTATCAGGAAAATAACACTTGAAAGAGACAGATCAATTATTTCAGGAACATGGAGGTGCTAGGGCTTTTGCAAGAACATGAGATCATAAATCTTAAGAAAACCTGAGCCACTGGTGTAATATTTTTTACCCAAAGTGGCACTCAAGGTCAAAGTTACCAATTAAATTTTAATATTAATGCCTTAAAATTTCCTTCTACCTAAGTATAGAAGATATAAGACTTATTCTAGTTTGCATGTGGGCAAATCTGTATATTAGAAAATGTGTTCTTTTGAACCAAGTCCATGTATTTAGAACTATTGCTAAATTGTGTTTGTCTTAGCATCCCAGACCCAAGTCCGGTTACTAACTTAAAACCAAACTCAGACCATTGTTCTATGTGCTGCCTAAAAATTAGATGAACTAAAGAGACTAGCTCTGGTAGTGTAATGGTTACAAATCAGGTTGCTAATCTCATGGTCAGCAGTTCCAAACTACCAGCTTTTCCTCAGGAGAAAGATGAGGCTTTCTGCTCCCATTAAAATTTACAGCCTCAGAAACTGTGTAGAGGGTTGCTATGAATCAGAACCAACTCCCCAGCACATAATGACAACAACAAAGAGACTAGATGGGAGGGGTTTAGGTCACTTCCTTTCTGATCTAAAGTTGCTCATGTGATTTATGATAACCTTGAACAGCAAATGAAAAGGGCATTGGTGAAATTTATTTTTAAAAGAGTCTTCTCTTCTCTGAAAGATCTTACTTATGTGCTCATTGTTTAACTCTTGATTACAAAGAGGTACTTGTGGCTTCTTGTTGTTGTTCAGTGTTGTTGAGTCTGTTCCAACTCTTAATGACCATGTATAGGGTGTCCGAGGAACAGCTGGTGAGTTTGAACCACCCAACTTTGCTGTCCAGCATATTATCCTACAGTGCCACACATATGCCATAGAAACTCTTTTATTGAGGAGGTGTTTTGCTGTTTCTTAGCTGAGGCATCTTCAAAGATTGTCACTTTCTCTTTCAGTTGTTGTTGTTTTTAAGTGCTGTTGAGTCAATTCCAACTCTTAGTGATCTTGCATAGTGTTTACAAGGACCAGCT